CTATTCTTCTATAATTATATTTAGATAATAAATGTCAGAGATACACATAAAGAACAAAATAATTAAAAAGGAGAGCAGTGCCGTGACGAGAGCATAGCGAAGGAACAGCATTTAGTAAAATTTAACTTGTTACATTAAAATTTTTAATTTTTTTTTTTGTCAATATTGAGTCACGGAGAGGCGCAAATTAGACACATACTACAGGCGCTTCATACCCTCGTTACGGTACTGAATGAGAATGTAGAATATATGAATGGAAGAGATGTAATAGACAGCATATCGCAAAGCTTAATTTTCTTAGCACTGTTGCTGAAAAAATAAAATATTATCACATTCCCCACATACCGGTTTTCTAAATAAATATTTTGCTCACGACCTACGACATATGCGTATGAGAAATGAATATTCATCGCTCGCTAACATTGTGCAATGTAAACTTCAACTTAGAATAGATAAGTAAACGCCAAATGTGGGCCACTAAACCAGTCCTTGGTCTGCGGCTATTATTTGTAATATCATGCGCGTATACTTACGTCTGTATGTCTAGTAAGCTCATAAAACGGCCTGTTAACAAACTAATAGATCAATCGTATAATATATTCGGGCACGAATAGAATTTCATATCGATGCGATTTCGTCAATATTAAACATTATTAACTGCTGACAAACTTGATTATAAAATTAATCACAATATTTATGACTATGTATTCTTTAAACAGCTTTCCATTTATGATAAAGGAACAATATGATGACAAATACGTGTAGAATTATTCAACCATAATTAACAAATATAGCCGAAACGGCATCATTTAGTGATTAACTTGGTGATCTGGTGCAGACGTTCATAATCCTGCTTGCATATATTTTTATTGGCAGCAATTTCTGCCAAAGCTCTAAACATGATAAGAGTTTTTCTCATTTCGTAACGCGACTTCCGTTTAACCATTGATAACGATCAAGTGCAATTGCAGTAGCAACGAAAATCAAACACAAAAGAATCGATAAGGTTGCGAACGGATGCTTATAAATGATCGAGGATGCAGGGGACGCTATTATTAATTAAGGAAGCTGATGATTAGGGACGTCAAAGCTAATACGTTTACAGTGGTTATTGCATAATCTGAATGCTAAACGTAATCAGCATTATACATCACTTTTTCATACGTTTATAGCTTCAGACGTTGATTTCCACCAGTAAGGAAAATTAATTATCTTTGTGGATGATATCGATTTAATTGAACGAATTAAGTTTTTTATGATGCTTAAATGTTGAGTAAACTATAATCGATTCTCTATTAATGATATTAACACGTTTTAACTACTGTATAATTACAAATTATAATATGTAAGGCTTTCAGAATAAAAATATCACAGTATTCTTAGACATTTAATATATGTAATTACTTAGTCAATAATTATTTTAATAATGGTTTCAGTTTAATTAAACAGAATAGGTTTTTT